GTTATTTAAGGTGTCATGTTACATATGTAAACTAACATTCAATATATCATATAAGTCATGTATACGTTGTAATTGAAATAGTTATGTATGTACACTTTGATTGAGTAAACACCCAGTCATTCTCTGCTCACCTTACTACAACAAGACTAGGGACTATGTGCATTCAAACACCAGACTTTAATTAGACGGTCAATAAAAATCTAATTAGCCTTTTGTTTATTTTCTATTTATATCGCAAGCTCGCCGAGTGCATAAAATCAATCACGCTCGTTATTTTCAATCTTGAGGTAGTGACGTCGTCGCGATAGACATGTCTGACTTCCTGTTTACTTAATTATCTCTCAAATACATACATACATACATACATACATACATACATACATACATACATACATACATACATACATAAATGTACACACACACACATAGATACATGCACACACACACATACATACATGCACACACACATACATACATGCACACACACATATGTACATGCACACACATATCTACATGCACACACACACACATATACATACGCACACACACACATATACATGCACACACTCAGTGTGACGTCTGGAGTTTTAATTACTTGTCAACCAAGTTTATTTAAAGCTTGGTTGAAGAAAGATAATTTTTAAAAATTAGTTTTCTTGTTTGGATTGAAAAAAAAAGATAATTGACAGATAATTGACAAAAAGTTTGTTTTCTTGTTTGACCTAAGGTGTAATAATCTGACACCTTCTGATATCCCGAATGTTTCATTGGTTGAAACATTTGTAAATTGTTCAAGCGGGTAGGTGGGTGAGGGTTAATTAACGCATAATTAAAAGTAATCCAGCTCGGATGTGTAGCTAACTCACGTTAAAAAAAGTAAAGACGGCTGGGCATAATGCTGACCATTTGTGTCTTATTTTCCATGACTTTTTTCCGTGTGACTTTTTGTTGCCCACTCCTTAATCCAACCGAGTACTTAAACCTATTTCTCTATCATGACAGCAATTTCCGTCTTTCTTCGCCCACCGAAGTACATCTCTGCCAGCCTACGTCATCGGATTACGTCAGGGCGGTTTCCCGTCGACCATTGCGGCTGCCGACTTGTCGTTTGCTCGCTACTTCCGCTAACAGAAATCATTTTGTTGACGTTTGTTTGATCGCACTGTTCGTTGGTCTTAAAATATGGCCACCTTGTCCTAGCGGCTTTAGCATTGACCCTTTGTTGAACTCAGTGGTGTCAAATTACGACAACGTACTAAGGACAAACAATCGCGTCTATTCACCCCATCGCTTCTATTGTACTAGTATATATATATATATATATATATATATATATATATATATATATATATATATATATATATATATATATATATATATATATACATATATATACATACATATATATATATATATATATATATATATATATATATATATATATATATATATATATATATATATATATATATACATATATATATATATATATATATATATATATATATACATATATATACATACATATATATATATATATATATATATATATATATATATATATATATATATATATATATATATATATATACATATATATATATATATATATATATATATATATCGGTGTATACACTTATCTTATATGTATGCTTATGAATTTACCACAGTGTCAACAATTTCTATGTGGCTAATTTATTAGTGACTCATTCGTTTAAAGCTTGTGTACGTATTGTAAGAAATTTTTATTTTGCGTTAAAATATCACAAAAATAGATACAAATATATTAAAATATTCTTTCATTCTTAACAGAAAAAAAAGAATATCATAGAAAATGCCAATAAATACTACAGGTATTAACACTCAAACAAAAATGGAATATAGTACTGGAAGTTGCGCCCGTACGAGATGCAATTAGCAACGTCGGATAAAGAGGACATATGCATTTACTGTACAGCATGGTATAATTTATTATGGGCGTGCGGTATGGTCAGTGTTTCTCGCAGACGTTTTTCTCCGGGGGGGGGGGGGGGGGGAGTCAACATTTTTTCGGGGTTGGGGGGCGGAAACTAGTAAAAGTGTATAATTGCTATGTAAAATCCATCTCTCTCGGGGGATGGGGGGGGGGGGGGGCTGTGGACTTTGTTCCGCCCCCCCCCCCCCGAAGAGATGCCTGGAAGAAACTCTGGGTATGGTTAAATGAATATTTGAAACGTTTATAAACACTTGAAACAACATATAGATACAAAAAATAAATAAAGTGCCCCTATTTCTCGGAAAGTCACTTATTCAGATTATTCCTATGCATTGAACACTGTATATAGATTATAGTTCTGTTGTGAAGTTTAAATACACATGTATGTGCTTGAACATAATATGCGTGACTGAAGTCACGTTTATTAAGCCCGTACACGTATATTTCTCCACTAGCGCTTTTATGTGTATCACCCGCTGAGCAGATAGGTAAAAGTGTGTCGTACAAACGACACGTCACTTTATAAAAACGTCACTTTATAAAACGTCACTTTATAAAACGTCACTTTATGAAACGTCACTTTATGAAACGTCCCTTTATGAAACGTCCCTTTATGAAACGTCCCTTTATGAAACGTCCCTTTATGAAACGTCCCTTTATGAAACGTCACTTTATGAAACGTCTCTAGTTAAAAAAACTACAACAGATAAAAGTTAGTTCGGCTTGTTGTTCACTGGTGTTTCTTTCAGACTTTTTTCTCCGGGGAGGTACTTGAAACTTTTGGGGATGGGGGATGGGGTGGGGGGAAAACGGACTAAATTTTCCTGGAGGGCGGGGGACACTGGTTAAAGTACATATTATCTAAATAAATTATATTTCGTTTGGGGGGGGGGGGGGGGGAGGGGTAGACATGTTTCTGGGGGGGGGGAGGCCTGAAAGAAACATTGTATATGGCCTGCTGCAAATTTCACATCCCTCATCTAGTTAACGAGATAACGATCATAATTTAACTTCAATCAACGTGGGAATACCCTAACTCAGATCTTTGCTTAGATATGCGGAATTTAAATGACCGCGATTAAATAAAAGTCATCGATTTTTTAAAAATGATGAATTTGTTTTTAATCTATTTTTAGCTCTACGTGTTTATCTTATCCATACGGTAGACATAAAAATTCAGACCTTGATTATATACTGTAGTGGGTTAATACAGCTGAGGCGTTGTTTTTACATGTATTAAAAAATCAAGAGAAAAAAACCTGATTTATTTTTACAGGAGATTTCTATACAATAGGTTCGCTGTGTTTTTTTTTAATTCGTTATAATCTTTTTAGACATTTTAATTACGCTTTAAGAATGAAACATTTTCGTTTTTTTTTTTAAATTTTATTTCGAACTTCAGTCTAATTTTTTTTTATCTGAGCTATCTTAAATGTCCTTATCGTAGTTATAGAGTACCATCTTGAAGATGTCCTTACCTCAGAGAGGACAATCTTGAATAGCCCTTGTTTCGCTTCACCCTCGATATGGTGAATCTAAAACAATGGCCGCGCTTTATATCAGCTAGCACAGTGGATTGTCTCTTTGCGAGACGGATTCATTAACATAATTAATTAGGTTTAACGCCTTGTCAGTTTAATCCAAACTTTAGTGTACTGCCAAAGCTACTGAAAATCTTAACCGTTTAAATCTGAATATAAACTCGCTTTGATTTTGAATTATTTCGTAATTTTGGACACAGTTTTACTACTACTTGTAAGTAAATTTGATGTTACTTAGTTTTGATTTCTTGATGTACATAAACTAATCCATAAGTATGAGATATGATTGCATATAATTGGGCTTAATCGAAAACTTTTGCTTTTTGTGCCTAATAGCTGTGTAATTTTAGTGAACAATTTTATCCTAAAAAAGTAAACAGTACATTTAAGAGATGCCTGGTTTAAAAAAAAAAAACTGGACGAAGAGACATTGGGGCTGATTCTACACATCTGTGCATGTTTACATATTTACATCTATGGCTTTGACCTTATATATATATATATATATATATATATATATATATATATATATATATATATATATATATACATATATATATATATATGAATGAAAATTTTTCTACTCCCTACCTCCCCATTCCATAATAAAGCTCTGCCTACTCCGCTGTCTTTCATTATAAACATTTCTGTCATAAAATTCATCTCTTTACCCCTAGAGTGCCGTGTAAATATTGGATACCTGGACGTATTTTCAAGACGACTGGGGCGTAACTTACATAACGTGTTTGAATAGTGTTAAAATATGTACACCTCTCGCTTACATGACGCTTTGTTTTGTTATTTTAATACACCACTTGACCCCAGACAAGTAAATTATATACTTGAGATTTGACCTTTGGTTTTGCTGGATATACATAAAGACAGTTGTATTTGCTGGAGTTGGGATGGGTAAACTTTACAGATAGGTAAACTTACTCTTTTCTTACAAATAGTCTGTTAGACTGCGATGAATGTATTACTTGTGGTGTGTTCATCATAAAAAAACACTGAAACTAATCAATATATATATATATATATATATATATATATATATATATATATATATATATATATATATATATATATATATATAGTTGATGTGTGTTGGTTGTGTTCTTAAAGTTTGTTAGTGGTTATAATCTTTAATATATTAGTGATTGTTGTGTGCTGATTGTGTTATAACAGTTTGTGGTTATACTTATATTGATCTTTACGATAGTAGTGATTTTTGTATGCTGATTTTGTTAATACAGTTTGTGAGTTATTATAATTATACTGATCCTTATGATAGTAGAGATAATTATTAGAATTATTCATGTTTCTCTGGTTGGACTTTACTCCAGCTTAGGTAATTCTGTGACCAGCTGTTATAGCCCCTACCAACCCATCACTCATATGATGCGGGTGTTTACCTTTATTGTTGGTTTTAAATGCTAATAATGTGTTTTGTATTATTCATTAACAAAGAGTTTGTGCATCGTCAGGTTTGGCGGATGATGTGAACGAAAAAATAACGCGCCTTTTTACAGATTGGTGTGTACTTAAGGAATTATTTAAACAATTTTTTTTATTAAAATGTTATTTGAAATATAACATTGTTTAGTGTTTAAAAATATATTATATACTTTTATTAAGTTAGTGATTTAATTTTATTTCTTTATTCACAGATGTGCTAGCAGTTAAAAACCCTGACTGTCGTACATGCAACCAGCTGTTTTTGTTATTCCAAGATGTAGAATAAGATGTGTGTATAGTTAAAAGAAAAGAAGTTAAATTAGGTGCCAAATATCCTTGTTTTTAAAATCAAAGAACCAAATTGTGATATACACGTAGATAAATCAAGATGGCGGACGAGACTTTAGTACCACTAATGTGTAATACAACGAGGTCAAAGTTGAGGAACGGAAAACCTGTTGTCGGTATTATCGGCACCGGAAATTTCGCCATAGCCCTGACCAAACGTCTCACGATGACCGGATATGAAGTGGTCATCGGCAGCAGACGACCGGAGGCCAGGAAAGACAATCTTCTATTCACCAGGGACTGCCTGTGTGGGGTCGAGCTGACTTCCGTGTCCGAATGCATCCGGAAATGCGAGGTCATATTCGTGGCCATCCACATGGAGGACTTCAAATTTACACTCCAGCCTTTCGCTGACGCCACGACGGGTAAGATTATCATCGACGTGTCTAACCGCGAGTTCCGGTACGCCGCCCACTCCAACGCCGAACACCTGGCCACCGTGTTACCCAACGCCCAAGTCGTCAAGGGCTTTAACTCTATATCCGCCTACACCATGGAATCTTTCGGGGAAGCCGGCGGCAACCATAAAGTTTTCATCGCCAGCGATCACCCCACGGCCAGAGCGAAGGTCGGAGACATTGCAAAAAATATGGGCTTCCGCGTCGTCGATGTGGGCGGGCTTAAGTCTGCCAGATTTTTGGAGGAGTTTGTTCTCAAGGTGTTTTCACACTGGAAGGTGCCGATTTTCTTGACGTTCGGCATCTTCAACCTGTGGTCGCTGTATATTGTGTATATCTACTTCATAGAGGCATCGGAGTTCAGCTGGGAGCAGATTTTCTTGAAAGTGCTGAACAAGCCTCTGTGTATGACCGCGATAACCGTGCTAGCGCTTACATATCTACCAGGTAATGATACAGGCATTTTTCATGATTAAAAAGGTGTTTTTAGAAAACATTTAACTGTAAAGATTTACAATATAAAAGACGTAAAAAAACGTCCCCTAAATTTTAAGTGGTCGAGTCGGTTAAGCTCATGGTTGCTAAACTGAAAAGCCTCGAGTTCTAACCCTTGGGCTGATGAGGCTCGTTAACTGGGGACAGCCACTCTTCTAGTCAAACAACTGCTGCCTTGTAGTTTGTTCTTGGTTGGACAAAGGCTATGGAAGCAAATTCAAAAAAGAAAAGCAGGCTGAAATCGGAGTCAATGGCCTCAATGGCGCATAACCAGTTGACACGTATCCTTAATTGTGTTGGAGGGGGATCCCTTCCAACACAAAAATTAAGAACGAAGAAGAAGAAGAGAAGAAAAGTTAAGATTTGAACAGTGTACATCAGTGGTTTTTAAGCTTTTTGAAGGTACCGAACCCCACCCGTTTCATATGCGCATTCCCCGAAACCTTAATAGTTCTATCATCTGTATTGACAAAACCTGATTCAACACAATGCGCACCTGTCTTTATATCCCATGATCTAAGCTACGAATTAAATTCACCCACGCTTACCGTGAAATATTGGATTTATGTGTCCCACATTAAAAATACCTTTTTATGTTCTTTTTTTTTGGAGAGGAATTTTTATCAATATTCCAGCGGTACCCTCTAATGGAAGGTAACGTTTTCCCCAATTATCCCAGGTATCTTGTTAAAGACTAGAAAAGAATTGAAATCAGAGTTACTGTAGTCTGTATTTTAATGTCTTACACGTCTATAATTTTATCTGGCGACGCGGAATATGTCTTAGTCTCTTATAGCTGTCGATGAATGTTGTTTTAGGTTATGTGCGTGATATTTTAACATTTGTTTTTTTAAAGATCAGTGATATTTGAACAATTATTTTTTTACAGGTCAAATAGCTTCAGTGCTGCAGGTGTACAACGGCACCAAACACAAACGGTTTCCGCGCCTCTTGGACACCTGGCTCCAGAGCCGGAAACAGTTCGGTCTGATCAGCTTCCTGCTCGTGACCATCCACGCCATCGCCTCCACCCTGATGATGTCGCCCACCTACTACAGCTCGTGGTACCACAGGGTCACCGTGACCCTCCCGGCCAACTCGACCTTGACCTCGGACCTGATCCTCTCCGGCAGCAAAGCCTGGATGGTCTGGAAGGGGGAAGCGGCCTGCCTGGTTGGGATCACGGCTTTTGTGCTGATGGCCGTCATCGCCGTCACGTCCATCCCTTCTGTCGGGGAGTCCCTCAACTGGTCAGAATGGAGGTGCGTCCACTCCAAACTGAGCTTCGCCATGCTGGTCCTCTCCGTGGGTCACGTCTGCATTATGGGGGCCCCGGGCTGGGTTAAATCCGGACCATGGAAAAGTTTCCGTTCTATAACCTGCCTGAGTATATTACTTCCCCTTCTAGTCATACTCCTTCGATTAATCTTCAGTTGTCCCCCTTTGAGTGGGTACCTTCGGAAAATCCGCCGGGGCTGGGAGAGGGTGAGTGAGGGTGACCTCCCTGCAGTGGTGACTCGGGCGGAGAACAGCATCACCACGGTTCATGATTTCAATGAAAAGATGGCCAACGGGTACGACGGCATCCAGCTGGATCGGTCTTGTTGCTGCGACAACAGCGTCGGTAACCCACAGGGCGAGGTCAAGGTCACCAAGCCGTCCACGTCCGTCAATGCCCAGTGTGAGTGCTCTGCTGTGTGAGATTCGTAGGGTGGAACTTGTCGTATTACAGAACTTGTCATTTTATGGAAGTGTAATAATAAGGCAGTGTAATTTTATCCAACTTGTCATTTTACTGAAGAGTGACTTTATGTCTCTTGTTAATTTATGGAAGTGTAACGTTATGGAGCTTGTCAATTTATGAAAGTGTACTTTTATAGAACTTGTCACGTTATGGAAGTGTAATTTATGGAACTTGTCACGTATTTGCCACGTATTTAAAGACGTGTTATTGTAAAGACGTGTAATTTTATCAAACTTGTCATTATCTGAAGAGTAACTTTATGTATCTTGTCAATTTATGGAAGTGTAACTTTATGTAACTTGTCAATTTATGAAAGTGTAATTTTATGGAGCTTGTCATGTTATGGAAGTGTAATTTATGGAACTTGTTGCTTTACAGACGTTTTTAAAGACGTGTTATTCTAAGGACGTGTAATTTTACCGAACTTGTCATTTTCTGAAGAGTAACTCTATGTGTCTTGTTAATTTATGGAAGTATAACTTTATGGAATATATCAATTTATGGAAGTATAACTTTATGGAATATGTCAATTTATGAAAGTGTAATCTTATGGAACTTATCATTTAATGTAAGTGTAATTTTATGGAACTTGTCATTTTACAGAAGTATTATTGTAAGGACGTGTAATTTTATCGAACTTGCCATTTTATGGAAGTGTAATTTTATAGAACTTGTTAATATATGAAAGTGTAGTTTTATAGAACTTGTCAATATGTGAAAGTGTAGTTTTAAGGGCTTGTTATTTTATGGAATTTTTTTTTAGGAAGTTGTCATATTATGGAAGTGTCTCTTATGGAAATTTGAATTTTAAGAAACTAATTTCATACAACTTGTCATTTTATGGAAATGTAATTTTATGAAAATTTTAATTTTATGAAACTTGCTTTTTCATACAACTTGTCATTTTATGGAAATGTAATTTTATGAAAATTTTAATCTTATGAAACTTGCTTTTTCATACAACTTGTCGTTTTATGGAACTCGTCATTTTGAGAAAGCTGCCATTTTGTTGAATTTGTTTAACTGAATTTTGACCATTTATAAAACTTGATACTTCTCTGTGGAACGTGTCTCTTTGTCACACTGAATTTTTCCTGTTGGTCTTTGTGACTATTGTTAGGCCGAGCGTTGCGTTAGCGTGCATTTTTTCATTCATTACAATGTTATTAAAAACACAAAGTGATATGTTTTATGCATTAGTTGTGTTTTACCCATCAAGGGTAGAAACCGTGCGCGAAATGTATAGTGTCAGAAGCATAAAGGGAAGCAACCTATGTATAAACTGTCATGTGACTACGACATAAAGGGAAGCAACCTATATATAAATGTGACTACGACATAAAGGGAACCTATGTATAAACTGTATTGTGAAAGATTAAAGGAAGCAACCTATTTATAAACCGTCGTGTGACTGAAACATTAAGGGAGGAAAACTATGTATAAACTATAAGGATCGTCTTTTATCTCTTTAACGAGATAAATGGCCCGTAGAGGGAGAGATACAGCGGGCGCTAGGTTAATAGTGGTCTTTTTCTCTAAACCGAAACCAAAAGCTTAACACTTCACCTCAACCTCAAATTTAACAGGAAACGAAAACTGTCTTTGAAAACGGATTTTTATCAAGATTTGTGAGTTTAACCTAATCTGGAAATTTAGCTGGACACGGAACCATAACAGTTACGAAATTTAACCGAAACCGAATTTTATTTGGAACATGCATTTTAACTGATTTCGGTCATTGACCCGGAAATACAAATTTAGCTGGAAAATATATTAAAAATTAAACGGATATGTGACTTTAACCGGAAACGGACATTTTAACAGGTAACGAAATTTAAGTGAAAACGGAACTTAATCCGGAGACGGAAATATTGCTCAAAATGGAATTTAACCGCAACCTAAAAAATAAACTGAAATTGGAACCTTATTTGGTACAAAATTGAACTGGAAAAGGAACTTTATTCAGGAACTGTATTTTAAATTGAACCGGAAATGATTCTGAAATGAAACAACTTATAACCCTAGCCTTAACCGAAATACTAATACTAACCCTTACTATATATTTTGCTTTTCCGGTATTTTTGTGTATATCTTCATACATTTGCCCCTAAGGTCACCCATGACAAATGTCGCATTCATAGTTTTTTCATGCGTCTCTTCTGCCCCCCCCCCCTACCAAAAGAACGTCTACTGCGCCAAACCAACGTAATAGAATTGATGTAGAAAATATAATCGTTTACCGTACCCAGTACACCCCCCCCCCCAATATAAAAAATTAGTCGGCTATCCTCTAAAAAACACAGGTCGCATACATACTAAAGCTAGACCATACATCTACTATTTTATGCTCTCCTTGTTGGGCCACTAAACCTCAATCATGCAGACTGTGTTTTTTACCGCCGGGTAGGCGGGGGGGGGGGGGGGGGAGGTCGATGTAAATTTTCGGCGTTGGACGGACTAACTTTTCCGTAATATATTTATTCTGTAAAAATTATAACTTCTTCGTGTGTGTGGGGGGGGGGGGGGGGGGGGGGAATGAGCGGTAGACGATCTACGGGTCCTAATAAGTTTATTATTTATGTATTTTGCTACTAAATATTTATATAACATTCTGAAATAAAAGCGTGTTTTAGGATATAATAAATCTAAAATTTCATAATTTAAAAGGCTGCTATTATTATAATTCAGGTTTTTTTAAGAGCTTTAAAGCTGCTATGTTTATTAATTATTTTTTTTATCACCGCTTAAAACCTCATTTTTAAAATTCAAAAATACTTGAGGTTAGGGGTGAGGGTTGATTTATATTTTTGTTTAAGTTCACGTCTTAGGTTATTCTATTTACGCTTTTTTTTCTGTTTGCGATTTTTCTGTTTGTGCTTATTTCTGTTTGCGCTTTTTTCCGTTGACAATTTTTTTTTGCGCTTTTTCACGTTGCGCATCTTTCTGGGAACCATTTTTCACAGTGCCTTTGCAGTGCCTTGCCGGGCTGACTATAGTAGGCCATATATATATCTGTATATATATATATAATATATATATATATATATATATATATATATATATATATATATATATATATATATATATATATATATATATATATGTAGTTTAATTAAACTATATATATGTATATATATATATATATATATATATATATATATATATATATATATAGTTTTATTAGAATACATATATATATATATATATATATATAATAATAATAATATTATAACTAATCTTTTAACGCCACTTAATGTACACATATATTATTCATAAACATTTATACGCCCAAGCTTAAAATAGGATAAACGATAATCAATAAACAGGAACTTTAATCATACAAAGTTCATACATTTTAAAATTTGATTTCTATGTTGTATAGATGGTATGGACTACCACGCTGTCATGATAGCATATGATTTTTATTCCATCAGTTGAGTAGTCATAATTGTAAGAATCCTTGTCATTGAAGAGGAACTGTTGGATGTAGAGAAGATATAAGAAAATATGAAAAATTAAACACACACACACCATATATATATATATATATATATATATATATATATATATATATATATATATATATATATATATATATATATATATATATATATATATATATATGTATATATATATATATATATATATATATATATATATATATATATGTATATATATATATATATATATATATATATATATATATAAATAAATAAATATTTATATATACATGTACGTATACATTCGCATACGCGTATGCGTACGTATGCGGGTTCAGATGCGCAGATGGAGATGGTTATGTAGTTAGATATATACTTTTCCGTCATTTCCTTCTCCTTCTCGATCTCCATCTAAGTAGACGTAGACAAAAAATGTCTACCGCACCCCCCGAACGAAATATAGAAAACATAGACTTGTAACAGTGTCCGCCCCCCCCCGAAGAAAGTCTATCGCTCCCCCCGAAAATTTCAAGTGCCCCCGGAGAAAAAAGTCTGGAAGAAACACTGGACTCAACAAATGCAATTGCTTATGCCTTTTTTGCCTCTGCCTCTGCCTATACTATACTATGACTATTCTTATACATATACCTATGCATAAGCTTACGCATATACACACGCACACCTCTACATCCATCTTCACCTCCACTTTCACGTACACCCTCACATACACATACACATACACATACACATACACATACACATACACATACACATACACATACACAAACACATACACATACACATACACGCACACGCGAACGCACACGCACACACACACCGAGTGTTTCTTCCAGACTTTTTTCTCCGGGGGGCACCTGAAATTTTCGGGGGGGGGGGGTAGACTTTCTTCGTGGGGGGGGGGGGCGGACACTGATAAAAGTATAATTTTTCTATATAAATTTGATTTCGTTCGGGGGGGGGGTAGACTTTCTTCAGGGGGGGGGGGGTAGAAGAGATGCCTGGAAGAAACTCTGCACACACACCTACACCTACACCTACACCTACACCTACACCTACACCTACACCTACACCTACACCTACCCCTACACCTAGACCTACACTTACACTTACACTTTCACCTTCACTTAGTTCTATGAATATGGCATTGCCTATGGCTAAAACTACGCCTATGGCTTCACATATGCCTATGCTATGCCTATGATAATGCCTACGAATAACCATACGCCTATGCACACGCACATCTACACGTAACACCTACACTACACTTACACTACACCTACACATACACGCACACTTCCACCAATACCTAAATTTATACCTATGTCTAATTCTATGAAAATGACATTGCCTATGCCTATGACTTCGTCTATAGCTCCACATATGCCTATGATAATGCCTATGACTATGCCCACGCCTGTGCCTACGACTAACCATACGCCTATGCACACGCACACCTATATTTACACCTACACCTACGGGTACGCAAACAACATATTCATATTGGTTACCTGAAATTGGTTTTGGCGAAGCGTGATTTGAACTCTGAATGTTACATTTATTTCATATGGAAAGGGGAGAGGCATGAAAAAATCTGGACCCCATCGTCCAATTTTTCTTGAATTCAAGTATAGTTTTCTAATGCCGGAGGTCGTATAAATCCTACTGTCGAAATGTAAGTGGATAATTTGAGCCCCACAATCCCACGTCTGTTCGGTTTGGTTGGCGTGTAGGAAGTTGAAAAAAAATCTGGCGATTAAAAAAAAAATTATTTTAAAAATGTAATAGCTACGTGTTGTGAACAGAGGCGTAGCGAGAAGGAAGGGGCGGGTACATATGTCCCCGGGCCTACTTTAGTGGGCGCCAATATGAGTTGGAAAAATAAATTAAAATCTCATTTTAGCTGCAGTTTTGCATTAAAAATATAAAACGTATATGGGGAGAGGGGGTGCAAATTGAAAGTTTGAAAGGGTGGGTGCAAATTTAAAGTTTGAGGGGGTGGGTGCAAATTAAAAATTAAAAGGTTGTTTCTGAAGTGGGGGGGGGGGGGGGCGCCAAAGTGAAAATTTGTCCCCGGGTGTCGGTAAGAGTCGCTACGAATCTGGTTATGAAAATGGGTTAAATTTAAGATGGGTTATATTTATTTCATCTGTTACTAGATGTGATATATTTGAAAAATCGAAAGTAATTTAAAATCCGCTTCTGTTTACTAGAAATCCCTGAAACCTTTATACAAAACTACAACTTTGATATAATATTTACATATTAAATTCCGACAACCTAGCGGTAACGGTACTCGGATTATTGTGTTCACAGACATAAACACATCCACACAGAAACATGGACGAAATTGCAAAGCCAAGTTTTTCCAATTCGATGACGCGTATGACTCCAAGATTTTGATACATTTATATTCAGGATTTTTAATCCGATTAAAGTAAGTCCCCTTTACTCAGTTAAATTGTTTATTTTCAGTACTTGCATTACACTGGTTGTAACGGTACTCAAGTTATCGTGTTCACATACATAAATGCATACACATTAATTCAGATTTTTGTAAAATGAAAGAGAAGCTGGAGAAATTAATCTGAATCAGAATTTGAGCAGATTGAGAACAAAGCCACTGAGCTGGTTGAGAAATGTGATATTCGTACGGAGTATAAGCAACACTGGGTATACAAAACGGATATCTGACTCTAGGAAAATTTCATTGTTCATACATATTTAGTGTCACTGGACTCTGTTATCCAAGTTTTGTTGCTTAGACTCAAAACAATTTGCATTAGTTCACAGTTTGTTACATTTAGAGCAATTATCAGTGACTTGGGTGCTGTTAAAAGTGGAAATCTATTTAAATGTTGGGTCTGGGTTTTAGTGACGATGCGTGACCGTGGAGAAAGTTAAAAAACCCCAAACAAACTTTACACCATTTACACCATTTACGGATGACCGCCGAAACCCACAGTTATCCAAGGATAACGAGTAGTCTAGTTCAATTTAAAACCTTGTAAAATACAAAATAGTTTAGGGCAGATCATCCCGCTTTATTTAATAAGTTTGTGTAATACTGTAAGGCTTACCTGAAAGCTCGGGTTGGATGTCTAATTACTACTAGTCTCTGTTGTTCAAGATGTTCGTTAAAACGAAAATATTTGGGCTGACAATCGGACAAAAAATATCAATGACAAGTCTGATATAAAATTTTAATTGCATTTGATCTATTGAGGCTAAACCCTTCGTTTCATATTGTATCAATTAGGCTAAAAGCTAAAAAATGAAATAGCCCTCAATGAATCTACACAAATGTTAAACTCTGAGTGTTTAAGATGCAATACACCTGCTTAAAAACTAATTCGGGGGGGGGGGGGGGGGGCGGACACTGTTAAAAGTATATATTTTCTATATAAAATATATAAATTTCATTTCGTTCGGGGGGGGGGGGGGGGCGGTAAGATTTTTACTTGCCCGAAGAGATGCCTGGAAGAAACTCTGCAAACGATACTCAAAATCAACAACGATTTCACTGGACCTACTACTACACTTTAACAGTCAATATAATTCGATACCTTAATACCACAAGAATCAGTACTCCCAAACTCTAGAACTACGATACTTCATCACCTGCATTATTAAAAAAAAAAAAAAAAAAAAAAAAAAAAAAAATACACCTGCTTAATAATTAAGTGTTTTTAATAAAAAAAAACAAAGAGGTTAACTATTTATATAGAACGAGCCGACCCGCTGCGTATCATACGCCGCTATTTAGTTGTTTTTTTTTCTACTTTTCAGTAATTTATAATTTGTGAATTCGACAGTACCAATGCTGCCATTGAAAATATTTGCTTAAAAACACTACCCCCCCCCCCCCCCCCCCCCCAAGTGAAAGCAGCCTCCTCTTAGTTACCTTCTCTAAGTTTAAAATCGTTTCAAACTAAATTATCTGCCCCTAATAGCCGTCACCAAACCCGTCTCTGTGATTGTAAAATGTAAACAGAGTGAACACCGCTCACCAGATCATGTGGGGGTGGGGTGGGGGTGGTAGTGATAGTGATAGAGAGGAAGAGAGGGGACTGCAAAGGCGCGCTTGCAGCTTGTTTTCTAACTGATCCCAGAAGAGAATTATATATATATATAGATGTGTCTTTTTTTTTTTTAAAAATACAAGCGTTCCCTTTCTATTATGGCATAGACCTTTTCTGCCGGAGAGAGTTTCCGACTGATGTACAGTACAGGATGAAAGTGTCCGTCTACTTCCTGCATTAAACAGGCTCATATACCATAATAGTGTAAATAATTTACTCATGTCAGGCAATCTCAATATAGGTTGTTGTGTAAAACAGTTTTTCAAATACTTTAGAGTGTCATCACATTCTCTACTCCAATTAATTGCCCTGTTCACATCAGTGCCCTTTGTTTTTGTCAGTTCGGTAATAGGATGGAGTAGGCTAGCAAAATTTGGGATTAATTTTCTATAGTAATTACACAGTCCCAACAAACGTCTAACATCCATTTTTGTTTTGGGGATCTGTAGATCTAATATCTGGTTTACAGTTTCCCCCACAGGTTTTATAACCTGGTGGCTAATAATATGGCCCAGGAACTGGATTTCACGCATGCCAATTTCAATCTTACTAGGTCTGGCCGTCAATCCATGTTGTCTTAAGGTTTTTAATAACGCCTCCAGCCCCTTCATATGTTCTTGCCAAGTATCAGAGAACAAGCAGATGTCATCCAGGTATGCAACAGTGTCAAGGTTGTTAGCTAGTACCTTCCGCATGAGTCTGTTGAATGTGGTCGGTGCATTAATTAGGCCAAAACTCATGAAGTTCCAATAGTATAATCCATAAGGTGAGATGAAGGATGTATATTTTTTGATGAGTCCTTAATGGGAATCTGCCAATAACCCCTTGATAAGTCGAATTTAGAAAAAATTCTAGCCTGAGATAATTTTATCAATAACTCTTCCTGACTAGGCATGGGTTCAGCATCAGGTATTGTAACTTTATTCAGTTGCCTATAGTCCACGCATAGCCTAATCTCACAATTTTTTTTTCTTTTTCAATATATATATATATATACATATATATATATATATATATATATATATATATATATATATATATATATATATATATATATACATCAGTATATATACATATATATATATATATATATATATATATATATATATATATATATATATATATATATATATATATATAAATTATAATATGTTCAATCGAGCAATTAACATGTATCCTGAAAGATATTTGCTATATTCAAATTTATATTTAAAGAAACTTAATATAAAATTGAAAATATTTAATTATTAAAATATGTCTCTTGAATACAAAATCCAATCAATTTTAGCAGTCCCACGAATCCGAATATACTTTAATTTTGGCACCCTAACGTCTGCCAGCAAAACAAAAGTTTCCTTGTTGACTAATATCTAGTAAAATATACATTAAAAAAATTAACTCCGTGTACTATCTTAAATATTATGTGAATAATATTCAAACATTAAGTATCGTAAATTTAAATGTAACTATAAGCAAAATTTACCTTGAATAGTTGGCTTTTAATCAAAACTGTCATTTTTAATTTTTTTCCTACTTCTAAAAGATTCACACTGTAAAATGCTGCCGTTCCCCACTGCAGATTCCTTCTGTTATTTATAGACAATCTCTATTGCGCAAAACGATAGTCGGCCTGCATTTCGATGTCCGGGGAGCAAGTTGTAGTCTCACACAGGTCCACAGTAAATCTACATACATTGTACTTAATCATTTTAGACAGTTTAGAATTAAGATAAAAAGGTTTGATAAGTTAAAAACGTAAAGTATGTTGAAAGTCATAGATTTGTTCATTGAAAATAAATATTTTTTTCCAATATAGATTCTATGAAATGATTTATTTTATAACCGGTGGGGCCGTTCAAGAATGTCTCCTTCAATGTAGATTTCTTTACCATCAAACACTGGATGTCTAATATCACCACAGTAAGGCAAAGTGTACTGGGGACATTTAATTTTGGTAACTAGAATTTTTAAATAAATAAATAAATAAATATATATATATATATATATATATATATATATATATATATATATATATATATATATATATATATATATATATATATATATATATATATATATATATATATATATATATATGCGTTCAGTCGTTTTTTTCGATTTCAATTTTACAACTAGGTACCCGCTCATTGGGTTCTAGTTGTGAAAAACACAAATCCAATTTAAATGTTATATACACACACAGATATATATATATATATATATATATATATATATATATATATATATATATATATATATGCGTGCGGGTATGTGTATGTTTGATTTTATAATTTCAGCTATGTACCATTTACAAAACATATAGTTTGTGTCAATGTAAAGTTATTAGATTATGAATTTATGTCACGTGTAGACACAGATGCATGATGACTCTTCTAATCTTAAAATAGGTAATACGATGGAGTTTTCGAGTTATAAATGAACTCACAGATTTCTAAATGTTTATTTTGCATTTAGCACATTAATTGTCATTTAGAAATTCGTAATATTTTACAAATGGAATTAAATTATATTTCTTGTGTAATTACTAGCATTTTATTTAGATTCTAGACATGACATAAGTAATAGTAGTAATTATCAACCTGTGTTGAACCAACGTCTCGTTTTGATTGGCGTTGAAAAGTGCTGTTGTCCGGATGTGTCGTTTGCAGTATTTCTCCACAATACACAGTCGAGACACTTGCCAGTAGAAAAACAAACGCAAGAAGCTGCTTCAACATGTTGAGGATGTACACTGGTCTTGAAATAAAATGTTACGTGTGTCTTCAACTAAATGTATCAATATGTAGGATACATAAATATATTCTCTGAATAAACATAAATAACTAGCGTACCCGTCGCTCACGATGCTGTGATCTTAGAATAAATGAAAATTCAGATTAATCATATATCACTGGTTCTCTAATAAAATAGCTTCGATGAAATTTTGAGACACTAAAGTCTTAAAAAGATACTTTTTCAAGTTGCTTTATATTTTTTTAGTGTAGTATGTGACACTCAACCACCCTCCCTTCCCCCCCCCTCCCCTACGCTTTTATTGAGGTTTATTTAGACTAACTAAAATATGATCATCCAACTATGCGACCACTCGTAACGTGACATAAAGAACTTGTATACCCCAGACGCACTGTCCATTTTTATGTAAGGGGAAGGAAATCTGAATATTGCTTTCTCAGCTCTTACGCCTATCTCCCTTTTGACCTTCGCTCTTCCACAAGGCTGAAACCAAAACGGATAACTTCACTAGTTGTGTACTGTCTCAATTATTCAATATTACAATGACTGATTAACTAACTTGACTTGTGACTTTTTAAATAATTAAAGAAACATTACCGGTGTAAAGAGAGAATAGCATTCAAAGCAATAGCCTGATTTAATATAAGCATAAAAAATTAAAATAATATAAGATAATAACAGAGCTCAAATTACCCTACGATGTGATAGAAAAATTAACTGCCAACAAGGTGTATCTTTGCGTTCAAACAATATTCTTTTTTAAAATGCAATATGTTTTCTGCCACCTTTCTACGTTTTGCTGACTATTACAGTTATGGCGGTGGACTAAGGCAGTTAAACTTCAGTCAGACAGTCCACGTATGCAATGTCATCCGCAGATGTTACCTAAGTAAGTTTGCAGTGGCGGAGTTCAAATTTACATAAACGTCAGCATAGAGATAATATGCTTTATACCAACTTAACTTCCTTCAAAGTAACTATTCGTCTCTTGTATAGCTTAAATGTTTTTCGTCTGCGCAAAACAATTAATTAGTTAATTCATAAATGAGATCACACGTATGTTTACAAATTCTTAAAAAAGGACGCTGAAATACATAAATACATATAAGCTCATATGCAAACATACAGAAGAACACACACACGCACATTACCACACTGATAAAAAAGGCACACGTTTTAATTAGGTATTAGCCTCTACAGTCATCAAGATGGAAAACAAAACAAAGTGTTATGCCCCACGTCTTATACAAAACTTTTAGATTAACCTCGTGAATGCTAGTTCAACATAATAATATACTAAAAAATGTTCACGTTTTGCGAAAATATTATTAAACGAGACAGAATTTACTTTATTTTACTTCCAAATCTTGCACCTTGACCCTTCAAAAGTTATACCTTTTTACATTGTCGGGTAATACATAAAATAATTGCTCAGTGATAGAGTTCAAAACTTATTACAGCAACACCTGTGACAATACGCCTGCATTAAAAATAATTGGATTTGTTTATTTGAAATCATTGCTTTAATCTTTATTACAATATATAAAACATGTAAACGTACACGCACACGCACACGTAGACGTAAACGTAGACGTAGACGTAGACGTAGACGTAGACGTAGACGTAGACGTACACGTACACGTACACGTACACGTACACGTACACGTACACGTACACGCACACTCACGCGCATGCGCACGCGCACGCGCACACGTACACGTACACGTACACGTACACGTACACGTACACGTACACGTACACGTACACGTACACGTACACGTACACGTACACGTACACGTACACGTACACGTACACGTACACGTACACGTACACGTACACGTACACGTACACGTACACGTGCATGTACACGTACATATATACATATATTTATACACATACATATATATATATATATACATATATGTTTATATATATATATATATATATATATATATATATATATATATATATATATATATATATATATATATATAGGCCTATGTATATGTGTGTGTGTAATGATATATGAAGGACTATATAATCAAAATATAAAACTGGCACTTGGTTAAAGTGGGAGACATGCTTGTGAAATCTCGGACGGAATAATTCTACTTCATCTGCCCCATGTGTCTTGGGCATGAACGGGAAATGATGATAATGAATAAACCTAAAATAAACAAAAAATGATATTTCTTTACCGTTGATGGAAATGCTTTACTTATATATAATTTGCTAATTTCATAGCCCTATTGCGCATATTTAACCATATGCATCAGTTAAAAATAGAACAAAAAAATAAAGCAAAAAAGTATCTTTTTAAAATGGTATTACACTACTCAATGTAAAATGCTATTCTTTCTTATAATATTATAGAGATGTAGAATGTTGATACCAAACTTTCAAAGCTTGAGCTTTACAACAAAATCAAGTTAGTTGACAAACTATTGCCTTGATCTATGTTTTATAGACAAGCCGAAAGGAATACTGAGTAAAAACATACACACGTTTTGAGGGTGGTCGTTATACAAGATGCAAGCAACCTTTGTCCAATTTTACATTCACCGATACGAAGTATAGAGGAAGCAATGTACTCAAGCAAATAAGTGATTTTTCCCTTCCCAGAGAAGCAAAAACCTGTTTTCGCTAGTTGTCTGTATGTCTGTTTGTTTGTGAACACGATAACTTAAGTACATTTTAGTTATGTTGATGAAATTACATATTATATAAAATGTTCGGTTCCTCAAAAGAAAATAACATGAGTACCGTTAAACATTTAGAAATGTAATATAATCTCGTGAAAAAAATAAATTGCGCACCAAGCGAACAGACAACAACATTTCTATAATAGTGCGGAACATTAGTAGGCCTACTTTATAAATGCAAAATCCTTTTTTTAAAAAAAACGAAAATTGCGTAAAAATTTGGTAGATAACAAAGAATTAGATCGTTTCGTTGGCTTTTTGATAAAGTAAAATGAAATCCATTTCCGGTTACTGGAAGTCAATGAAAAGTTGTGACAGTACTATAAATTTGGTATTATACTTATATATAAAATTACATCTACCTAGCTGTAACGGGACTCAAGTTATTGTGTTCAGAGAAACACAGACACACATCCACACAGCCATACAGACAAAATTGTAATATCCCGTTTATTCCACTAGTAAAAAGCCTAGATTTTGATGACTCTGTTTTTAGAATTTCAGCCCTATTTAAATTACTTCATCCTATACTCTGTATATGATGAAGTACTGAGATATAAATCGGTGTAATATTTACATTTAGGCAGCCTTTTTCACACGTCTTTTCTTTTGGATATCATGGCATTTTCTTTGGATATCGTGGCATTTAGTTGAGACGTTTTTTCACTGTCGGGCTGAGTCAAAATTGTGTTACTGTTTGTCTTTGTAACCACATCAGTATCAACTGTTTTATGGTTCAAATTGTTCTATTTTATTCTCTACGGCGTTCAACGGTACAAACCATTCACGTGATTTTTCATGACTGCCGGAAATAATCACTGGCCATTCACCCTCATAAATCAACCACTAGACACACACTGGACTTAAACCATTTGACATACATCGGACAATAACCAATGAACATGCACCGGACATTAAGCACTGGACACACACTGAACATCAACCATGGGAATTACACCGGACATTAACCATCGCAAATACACACACCGGACATGAACTAGTGGACACACACCGGACATTAAGCATTGGACATACACAAACCCGACATAACCCATCGGACATACAACGGACATTAATAATTGGACGTACACACACCTGACATAAACCATTGAGCATACACCGGACATTAACCATTGGATATACACCCCGTAACAAGAAAAATACTGTAATTAATTTGCAGTTGATGCCAGTACTTTTGCTTCTATTAGCATAATAAACTGCAATCAATGTAAGGTGATAATATACACTATACACTATACATTAGGAACTCCACACAAAAATATTTACAGTACTAAAAATTATACAAATTACTCGCCCCGCCTCTTTTTCATTTATTGGGCTTAAATATATTACAATAAATTTAATTACAATAATTATTAGTCAACTAATAGAATAGTGCCCAACACGTTTTCTAAGTTTCTTTAGTATCTAAAACTTAGGTAGCGTTTGCAATCAAATGTATTAAATATATGAAAAAAATTTTTGTCTATCAAACGAATACACACACACTTATGTTGTGAAGGCGTTTAATTTTAATAAGCTATATCCAACTATATTGCAGCATTTCATTCTTGTGTTTTGAAGGTTTTATTACAACAACATTGACAGGTGTAATGTGAAAAAAATGAAGAAAATAAATAAATAAATAATAAAAAAATGTAAATGTTAATGCATCCACCGCTTCTAATTAATCTCTGTACGGCACTTAAAAGTACTAATATTGGATTAAATTAATTAAACATTTAAGTTACAAAATTTATTTGGGTGTTCACTAAGCGGAACACTTAGTCAGTAACAGCTATTTGATTTCTATGTTGTCAAGACGTTTTTGACGACAACAGAATCAGCATAGCACATTCTAGCTACTCCATCAGTTGGACGGTCATAAGTGAATGACATCTGATCGTTGATGCGGAACTGTAGGAAGTAAAAAAGAAGTAAGAACATATTTAAATAACTACTAGACTACCCGTTATTCTCGAATAACAGTGGGTAATTCATAAATGACGTCACGTTTGATTCAAGATTTTTATATTTTCCTTTCTATTCCTACTGTCACACGTCGTCACAAAATGTCAGACCCCACATTCAAAAAGACGTCACTCTTCAGGCTGATCATGGGTCTGTCAACACTATCCTTTATAAGCTGAGGTCACAGAGACAGGTGAACTCTACTTCACCTTCCCCGTATCCCGCGAAGTCTCGAAAGGCAACTTTATTATTCACATAAAAAAAATAACATTCACTTGATTTGTCTCGAACCCGTGCCACCCGCATGGCAACTATTATAGAGTGTCGCCTAAGAATTAAACTTCATTATTGTTCTGGATGACTTAAAACATTAAAAACTGCATTTATTTACCTTAAATTTGATACAAATTAATTTATCCGATTTAATCGGTAGCCTAGAAAATGATTGGTAAAAATGAATTTGTTTTTAAATGGCTACGATGATAAGACTGATTTTCAGTGATAGGGTGGGTTTGTTTTTTAAGAGTGTTTTTGTGCCGTTCAGCAGAAATGTGTCGTCTGCTAGATTTCTCCCTTTTCAAATACACGGCGGGCAAAATGGGCGAGCTTAGTTTGCTGTTGTCTCGATCAAGTTATGTTTTATCGATTTCGTTTTTACCCAACATGATTTTTAAAACATTAGTAAAAGCAAGTTGTAATTTTATATACTTTAGAATATATTATCAGTAAGGTAACAACATTATCAAATACAGCAACTCACGTTTTGCTTACTTTTATTTTGTTCTGCTCGATATTCTCAGCAATTTGACAAAAAATGTACAAACGGCAAGTTAGCATCAAACACTAATCGTCCATTCTTGAAACTAGACAGGTATCGTTGAATAATACGCGTTTGTGTTGTTTTTACTTTCTCGTATATACGAAGTACAGAGAAAGTATTGTAATCGTGCAAAAAAATCGAGATTTTTACAAATCTCGACGTTTTACACCTCACTGATACGGACAAACATAATTTTGCAATCTTGTCCGTATGTTTGTGTGTCTGTCTGTGTGTCTGTCTGTGTGTAAACACGATAACTTGAGTACCGTTACAGCTAGGTTGACGAAATTTCATATATAAGTATTTTATCAAAATCGTAGATCCTGATCAACTTTTGCGCGAGTTCCCATAACCGGAAGTGGTATTTTTTCTACTTTGAATTTTTCTAAAGCCTATAACTTGAGTACTATTTCAGATAGATCAATAAAATGTCACATGTAAATAAACGATCTAATTCTCTACCTTCTGTCAAATTTTGAGTAATTTCCGTTGACCGGAAGTACTAATTTATGCTATTTCCGATTTCTCAAAAAACGCATATAAATTATAACGTACTAATGATATTGCGCACTATTATGTATATTTTGTTTTGGCGTTCGATTGGTGCGCCATTCTTTTTTCTATGAGATTCTATTCTATTTTTAAAAGTTTAAGTAATTAAAAATCATGTCTATATTCCAAGTTATATAAGAATGTTCGAGAAAGTTTAGGGGATATCACTCCAGTTTATTTTTGTGCATTTTCTTTTGCATTTGTGTTTGCGTTCGCGTTTGCAATCTATTTGTGTTTGCGTTTTCTTTTAGGTTTGTTTTTGCGTTTGTGATTATCATGTATCTGTGTTTGCGTGTTGCTTGTTGCGAATAGGGAGTTTTGGTATTCGTTTGTGTTTGCATTTTCTTTTGTGTTTTCTTAGCGTAGCAGTTTTGTTTGAGTTTGTGTTATTTTTGCGCTTGCGTTTGTGTTTGCGTTTTGATGCGTTGAGTTTGCGTTTGTGTTTGTGTTTGCCTTTGTATTTGCGTTCGTGTTTGCTTTTGTATTTATTTTCTCCTTTGTGTTTTCTTTTCTATTTGTCTTTAGCTTTGCTCTGTTGCCAAGTTGATACTCGCTTATAACCTTACTTCGCTCGAGTAATAGACTTTGCGCAACGCTTTGTCTGTCCGTTGAGTATGCGTCTAATTTGTTTTGATATGGATATTACCCTTATACACATACACACGTCCTTGCACATGAGCTTGAACATACACATGCACATGTACTTGCTAATACACGAGTACTTGCATATATACGTGCAAATGCAAATGCAGATTGACATCGGCAAAAATATAATTACATCAGTTACCTGAAACTGGTTAAGGCGGAGGGTAATTTGAATCCTGAATGTTACATTAACTTCATATGGAAAGCTTGAGATAGGGATGTATTTAGTATTCCAATTTTGATTTCTGTTCCTATAAGCTACGAGGATTTTATTATTATCGTAGCTGTATCTAAGCCTGTTATCAAAATGTACTTGTACAGCAGAAGTCATGCAATCTGATGGTTCTTCCGTTACGTTGGCATGTATGAAGTTAAAATAAAATCTGTTGATTAATAAAAAAAATAGCCATTAAAAACAAAATGTCTAAAGTTATAATGGGTTGTTTTTCTTTATGATACTAAATGTGATTATATTATTTCCTCAAAGTTACAATAAAAATGTAGAAAAAAATGTAGAACTACCGCTGGAAAGACTGTTATAGGGGCTCTCTACATAATATATACCTTGTGATCCATGAATTATATATATATATATATATATATATATATATATATATATATATATATATATATATATATAATATTGGTAAATTGTCTTCCTTAGTGGTGAGTAGTGTATCTTACTTATTTCCGTGAACAATAAATAATGCTAGACGTTTACGATGAATATAATACAATAGGCTGCAAAGATGGTATGATAATACGTAAAATTTGTTTTTAATCTGTTTTGTAGGATTCTCAGTTGTCTTGGTGAAGTGCTAAGGAAATATTTATTGGAAATTATATGGAATGAAAAATGAACAAATATTTCATCTAAATTGAATACTATTGGGATTGTATCATTGAAATCACATTGATTTATGGCAGTAGTTTATTTATATCGAATTTTATACGGAAAGACAAACTCTAATACCAAAGTACCTACTAAGTTTTATAGCACATTAGTATCATTGATAAAATTATTGTTTACTTGGTTTTTTCCTGATTTTCAGTTAATATGTAGCTCAAAAAGTAGGCCTATTATAATAAGACAGTTCTTATCAATAGTTTTAACGTAATGTTTATTCAAATATTACCGTAGTGTAAGTCCATTTCACTTGTAACCTTTATTAAGGGGCGTAAAAAAAATTCACCGAAATTCTGATTTTTCGTCTTAATGGGTTTCTTATACTTTTGGATTCTTTATTTTAGTAACAAGCTTATGTGCAATAATTCACTAAAAAGTAGAAAAGAGATGATTTTCTTTAAATATATAATAATACACTACAATTAAATTACTATAAAGAAACGCGTGGGTTGCTATAATATCTTTTGGATACCTTTACTAATATTTAGGAAGAGAGACGCTTGTATTTATAGTAATTTAAAAAGTAGTGTATTATTATATCATCAAAGAAAATAATTTATTTTCTACTTTTTAGTGCATTATTACATAAAAGCTTGTTATTAAAACGTATTTTATGCAATACAATTTTCCCACACTTTGCATTTTTACTTTCTAGTATTTACGAAATATAGAGAAAATCTTGTAATCGTACAAAAAAAAAATCGAGATTTTTTGTAAATCTCGACGTTTTACACCCCCCTGAGTCGGAAAACATAGTTTTGCAATCTAGTCCATGTGTGTATGTGTCTGTGTGTGTGTGTGTGTCTGTCGGTAAACACGATAACTTGAGTACGGTTACAGTTATGTTGATGAAATTTCATACGTAAATATAATATCATAGTTGGAGCTCGGTAACAAATTTTGAGTGATTTCCGATAGCCGGAAGTGGAACTAATTCTACTTTAAATTATTCAAAAACCTATAACTTGAGTACTATTTCAGTTAGAGAAATTAAATTTCACTCGTAATTATTTGCTTTCTAGCAAATATTGAGTAATTTCCGTTGACTAAAGTAGTAATTTACGCTATTTCTGATTTCTTAAAAAGAGCATGTGAGTTTATAAAGTACTAATAATATTCCGCACTATTATGCACATTTTATTTGGAGTTTCAATTGGTGTGCAATTCTTTTTCCTACGAGATTTTATCCTATTTTAAAAAGTTATAGTTATTAAAAATGGATTTTGAATCATGCCTGTATCCCGAGTTGCCATCGCCTGTAGTTTTATATATTACTAGCGTACCCGCCTCCGCGCGTTGCTGCGGGAATAAAAGAAAGTCTGATGAAATATATAAGAAGGTTTTCATCAATGCGTTACCAATCCTATGTTCTAAGACGCGTGACCTTTTTCTAAAACTGAGTTATTTAAATGTAAACAATGCCTACGCTTTGATCATAAATATAGGGACACCGGTTTACCTAGAATACCAACACCACCGTAATCACTCAGCACCAAAATAATGAAGTAGAACACACTTCTGTGACCGCCCATGTGTCAGGGACGTAGAGGGGCGCTCTCGGGAGCCCCTGATTACACTAACGCAGACGCGCCGCCTACGGCCCCTGGCTCCAACTAAAATAGGCGCCATAGTGCTCACACTAAAACCCAGAGTGCCAAATAGTAACCGGAAACAAAGATGCAGTCGCTTAAGTTACATAAATCAACAGGATTTTTTCGTTAACGCGTAGAAAAAAAAATTATTTGATGTGTTATGAACATCAGTGGGGTCGGCGTGGTCGAGTCGGTAAAGCTCATGGTTGCTAAACCGTAAAGTCTCGAGTTCGAACCCTCGGGCAGATGAGGCTCGTTAGCTGGGGACAGCCACTCTTCTAGGAGAGACAACTCCAAAATTAAACAACTGCTGCCTTGTAGTTTGTTCTTGGTTGGACAAAGGCTATGGAAGCAAATCCAAAAAGAAAAGCAGGCTGAAATCGGAGTCAATGGCCTCAATGGCGCACAACCAGTTGACACGTAACGCTTAATTGTGTTGGAGGCGTAGTCGAGTCGGCAAAAAGCTCGATAAATTGATAAATTCGAATAAAGTCTCGAGTTCAAACCCACTGGCAGATAAATCTCGATCCCCTTCAACACTAATAATTAAGAACGAAGAAGAAGAAGAACATCAGTGTGACTGATGCAATTTGTTAGCATTACTAACGGTGAATTATTAGAAGCTCGATCTCAATTTCTAATTGAAGGGCTTAGTGGAAAAAGTACTTAACTGTATTTTGAGAGTTTTGAGAAAAATGAGTGCAAAGTTTTTAAATTGTTATTGAAATACCAAAACAGCTGATGCAGATTATTTAAATTAAGCTACTTCGGTACTTTTTCCATGGCCCAAATTTACAGGGATGGTTAAGTGGACGTAGTCAAATAATATACCGGTCTTAACTCATTTTTGACAAAATGTAACTTAAGTACTTTTTCCACTGAGCCCTTCAATTGGATCGTTTAAAAATAGATGCTAATTGCATCTTTCATAAAGTGACGAGACTGTACAGAAGGATTTCCTCGCGTTACAAAGTTATTTTTAGAAGTGTAACTTTAAATTTTGATTTGAGTTGCCCTTCTAAACTTAAATTTTTACGGACAAAAAGGAAATAACCCAGTGTTAATAATCTAACATTGGTTGATTTTCCTGATTTAAAAAAAAAACGTATTAAAGGGCCCTCAGCAGCCCGCGTGAGCCTTTGGGGTCTGAAACTGAATTTTTGTTTGCAGCCAGATTGCACCCTACCAGGGCGCCGGCTGACACGCCTGATTCAATTTTGTGAGCGACTGTAACGGCCCATATTATCCATTGTCTACCGCACTGTTTAGAATGAACGTAGGTGCCATTGCGCTCACGGGAAAGTTCAGGGCGCTAAATTGAACCCTGCAGGGCGCCGTGGGACGCGCCTGGTTCAATATAGTCAATGATTATTGTTACCCGTCGTGTCGTTAGTGTATAGCTTTTTTTTAATGAACGTAGGCATCATAGTGTTCGAAGGGAAGCCCGGCGCTGCGGGTCGTGCAATCTACGGGGCGCCGACGGTTGCGCCTCTTGAAGTCTTAACGCTGAGTATAGTATTGCTCTTTACCCTCGAGGCAGGGTGCACGATTAGCGAATGCAACGTGCTAACATAGCCGCTCTGGAACTCTGGGCGCCAAATTGTGTTTGGCGATAATCGAACCCCGCAGGCGCCACCCATATCATATTTTCATTAGTTTGTTCAGAAAAACCTTCTCGGGAGTATTATCATCAACTCCTCAAAGTTTCATGGCACACGGATAAAAGGTGTTAAACCGCATTTGACTTTTATTTTTTATATACCGTATATTAAGAAAAAATCTAACAATCCCGATGCACCGCCCTTGCGAAATTACAACAGATGTTTTTGCAGAACCCTCCCCTGGAGTGCTCCAATCAACTCCCCAAAGTTTGATACCGATCGAATGAATGGTGTGAAACTGCAATCGACTTTTATTTTTTATATACCGTATATAGTGAAAAAAATAGCACCCTCCCGAGGCGCCGCCCTTGCGAAATTAAAAAAAAAAAATTATTTTTCAAGAAATCTTCCAGGTAGTGTTCTAATCAACTCAAGTCTCATGGTTATGGGATGAACGGTGTCAACCCAAAATCGACTTTTATTTTTATATACCGTACATAAAGAAAAATCGCACCATTCCGTGGCGCCGCCCTTGCGAAATTAAAAATGATTTTTTTGTAGAAACCTTCCCTGGAGTGTTCTAATTAATTCCCCAAAGTTTCATGGCGATCGGATGGTGTCGAACCGCGTCGTACTTTTATTTTTTATATACCGTATATAGGAAAAATCGAACACAACCGGGGCGCCGCCCTTGCGAAATCAAAAGAATTTTTTTTTTGCAGAACCCTTCCCTGGAGTGTTCTAATCAGCTCCCCAGAGTTGCTAGACTATAACTTTTGCGCACGAAATGAACATGACAATTACCGTATACTATTGCGGAAAGAGTAGTTCAATTTGGCCACCTTATTTCAGACAATTTTAATTAATTAATAAAGAATTATTAAAACATCCAACGAAGTCAAATTTAATGTCATATTGCATCGACTTGAGGTCTTGGCACATGTTAACTTTGAAATGCATCTGTCTGTTAGAATTGCCCTAAATTTCACTCACCCGTTTCGATCTATGACGACCGATAGACCGTCGACAGACCGACGACAGACAAAGGAAGCTAGTAAAAAAAAACTAACTTTAAAAACAATTTAATCCGTCATTAAAGCTAACATCTAAACAACAACATTCGATAGGAAAAATTGGGATTTTCCACTTTGTACCATTTGGATTGGATGATTTATAGAAAAAAAATGAGTTGATATTTTACTTATTTTTTTTTATAGCCCTTGCGAAATTAAAAACATTTTTTATATAACCCTTCCCTTGTGTGTTCTAATCAACCCCCCCCCCCCCCCAAAAAAAAATTCATGGCGATCGGATGAACGGTGTCAATCAACAATGGACTTTTTTAATATACCGTATATAGAGAAGAATCAAATCGCACACTCCGGGGAGCCACTCTGCGAATTTGAATTTTTTTTGCAGGAACCTGCCCAGGAGTATTTTAAATTTTTTTCCAAACTTTCATTGCACTCGGATGAACGTTGTCAAACCGCAATCGACTTTTAATTTTTATATACATTATAGAAAGAAAAATCGCATCCTCCCGGGGCGCCACCCTTGCTTAATTAAAACAGATTTCTCTGCAGAAACCCTCCTTGCAGTTTTCGTATTAACTACGCACAGTTTGACAGCGATCGTATGAACGGTGTCAAACCGCTAACGACAATTATTTTTGTATACCGTATATAGAGATAAAAACAAATCTCGCCATACAGGGGTGTCACCGCTGCGAATTTTAATTTTTTTTAGGTACCTTCCAATGAGTTTCATCGTGATCGGATGAAGGTTGTAGTAATGCATAAAAGACAAATACACACACAAACTTACAATGCTTAATATAAATATATATATATATATATATATATATATATATATATATATATATATATATATATATTTGGGCCTGAGGTTATTTAGTAATGAAACTGAATGATTTTATCTAATATATAAAGTTCAATTCTGTATGTAAAATGTTTGTATGTAAAATTTAATATGTTTGTCGTGGATACTTAGATGGATTTAAGTGTTAGGTTATTATAGTTCTCATGGTCTAAATTTATGAGTAAAAAAATTTCTATTGAGAGTCTTTAAAAACAATTTTCATTTTATATACTTAGAATAATAATTTTCAATTATGAACATTACATAAAAAAATTTAAAAGTGTATCAACGTTTATAAAATTTCTAAAATTGTGTCTGAAATGTATTGATTACACAGTTACTTCCCTTTAAAAAGCCATTAAATCGGGGGAAAAAAGAATTTTCTTTTTATTACTTTGTTTTGGCGTTAAGAAAAAAATAGTTACATAATTAGCGGGGATTGATTAATTGCAATGTCGTTGGTATTTTTAATACTGCCTTTTATTTATTCTATACACTGAATATACTGTTCACTAATTATGTTTTTCATTTAATAACATTTAATAAGCCAGGTCCTACAAATCCTATATGTTTATTTCTTTCCATTCACGGACAAGCTTGGAGCATTATAATTTTGTTCACAAAATAGAAACAGGCGCGTCCGCCGGCGCCTCTGCACGATTCGATTTGGCGCCCTGGGCTATCATGTGAGCGCTATGCTGCATAGTTTTGTTTTAAACAGTGCGATAGACTATGGATAAGAAAGGCTACTATAGTCTTTAAGTGAATAAAATCCGGGCGTCCTCCGGCACCCCGACAGGGAGCTATTTGGCGCCCCGGGCCTTCCCGTAACCGCTATGGTACCTACGTTCACGTAAGTGAATTCAAAAGACTATGAATAAGTTGGGTACTATAGTCGTTTATTAAGTTGAATCAGGCGATTACGCCACACGTCGTCATGGTACGATTTGGCGCCCCGGACTAGACTGCGGACACTTTGAGTTTATCTTTGCGTTTGTGTTTTCTTTGTGTTTGAGTTCGGGTTTGCGTTTGCTGTTCTGTTTGCGTTTGGATTTGGGTTTGTTTTCGTTTGCTTTTTTTTCTTTGCGTTTGTGTTTTCTTTGTGTTTGTGATTGTGTTTTTGTTTGCGTTTGTTGTTTTTTTTTTGGTGTGTTTTGGTTTTGTTTTGTTGTGGTTGGGTTTGTGTTAGCCTTTGGATTTGTTTTCGTTTGCTTTTTTGTTTGCGTTAGTGTTTGTGTTTTCTTTGTGTTTGTGGTTGGGTTTGTTTTTGCGTTTGTTTTTGTTTTCGTTTGTGTTTGTTTTGTGTTAGTGTTATGTTAGCGTTTTTTGTGTGTTTTGATTGGTTGTGGTTATGTTGGGCAATGCCTGATAAATGCTGATTACTAAACACACAAATTATGGTCCTTTACAAATACGTTTTTCAGAGATGCCAGTGCAGGGCCTGGCCGGGACGGCTAGCATTTTATGTTTATTTTATATTTATTTTGTTTTTAACTAATTAAATCTAGTAATTTAGTTTATCTTTCAATCTAGATAAATTCATTGTATTCTCGAAATAGCAGAGCCGACTTAAAATTTAGCTTTATAATACATTTAACATTAGAATAGGCTACATGATCTAATCTTCCATGGATGTCATGGTTGTAAATAAAGTATTTGTTCTAAACTTTCATAATTAAAGGCGTGTTTCTATATTAGAATACTTCATTAAATTATATTTAAGTCTTTAAATATTTTTAAATGATATTTTCAATTTGAACATAGTAAACTTTGGTTTTCGATATGGATGTGGTTGAAAAACTTTATTCGAGGATAATGCGGATGGAAAAGGTAACGTTAAAAAAGTGGCGTGGTTATTTTAAATTATGATGAAAGTGGAGCTGTCATATTTAGCCGCATTCGTATAATGCTGACCGTCGTTTATTAATAATACAATAATATCAAGTTTCTAGTTTGCAAGAAAAACACTAACACTAATTTGTTGTGAACGAAAAAACCGCTTAATATCAAAAGTTAAATTTACCTTTTGATTGTTACAGAACGCTATATTAATAGTAGAATTTACAATTATTTCATTATATGTGTGTGACACAACTGAGTTTTTAAGAATTCGTGGTAGTAATGCTGTAAAACTTACCTGGTAAGGTCAGTTGGGTATCCATATATTATGACTCTCTGTTGTGGACGTTGTCCGTTTAAAGAAACATATTCAGGCTGACAATACGAATAAAACATATTGATTAAAATTACTTAACTAAAGTTTAATTGTAATTCTCCTTTTGAGTATTTACCTTTTATTTTACAACTAAATATTTATTAAAAAGCTAACCAACATTTTATGTGTTAACCCAGCAGTCGAAAAAAAAAGCAAATGTAAATTTTAAACTACAATTATGCAGACATTTATAAGTTGTATAGAAATTACACTTATTGCATCTATTTTTAAAAATTAATGGGTGCTTAGTGTTGTACTTTTTTCTAAGAATATTTCAATCTTTTTCCTATGGGTCAGTTATACATTTGCAAAAATAAAATAATTAGAACAGTACTATATATATATATATATATATATATATATATATATATATATATATATATATATATATATATATATATATATATATATATATATATATATATATATATATATATATAAGTGTGTATGTTAAATTAATATATATTAATTTTTTACTTACTGGATTTTTAAACTGAAACGCATATATATATATATATATATATATATATATATATATATATATATATATATATATATATATATATATATATATGTATATATATATACATACATATATATATATATATATATATATATATATATATATAGAGAGAGAGAGAGAGAGAGAGAGAGAGAGAGAGAGAGAGAGAGAGAGAGAGAGAGAGAGGAAGAAAATGCCTACAAACATCGACGTGGGTTAAAATATGAACGTGAGTGAAAATCTCAATTTATTAAGTAAAACACCTCTGTTAACTAATAATGTCGTACATCGACCTCAGTAATTACAAACAATTATGTTACATTCGGGATAAGTCAGGAAGACCTTAAAACTGAATAAAAGACACATTTCCATATACAAATATACCATGTTTTTTATGAAAAAAAACTAAGCATCTGCACAAACAAATCCACTTGATGAATTCCTAAGGTCTTAGGAGTAAAAAATAATCGTTATTTTCAAGAAACCTTTTAATGGTTGTTAAAAATTGTGAGACATATTATATCCTTACATAAACAATGTTTATTGTAGGGAAAATAAATATAAAAAAGACGTCAAAGACATTATGGTTTTGCGTAGTAGAAGTAACTTTCTAAAATAATAATTATACAATATATTCTATACCATTTTGTGGAGAAAAATAATTGAAGATAGATAGTATTCCTTTGAGTAATAATTGCAATACATATTAAAATATTTATCCTCATGAAATTAACTGAAAAAATGATAGTAATATAAAGTTCAAGTTCTTCTATCGTCGAATCCTATGCTTATTTTGCTTACTTTAGTATCATTATTAGACGCGCAAAAAATAAATCATTCATACGTTTAACTACGCATACTGCCAAATTTCGTTCAGGTTTAAAAAAAAGAGAGTTTGAATGCTGATTTAGTTATTGATTGGCTATTATGGAGAGCTTAAGATTAAACAGTAATAGTAATTTCTTAGAAATTCTGGAATGTTCAAAATTTATTACTTGAAACGTAGTTAGAACTGCCAAGGTTCCCTGAATATTTATATTATATTACATTGACTTTTAAAATTAACTACAACAATTTCATCAGGATACATACTTTAATACTTAACACACATTATACACAAAAGAATGCTATACTTCGTCATGGTCTGTTTGTGTTTAAAATAGTATAAAATTATATGAAAAATATTTATTTTAGTTAGCTCCCTTGTAAATTGACCGAATGTCGTAGTCTTTGTTTACTTTCTTTTCACAAACAGTTGCTATACTAATGTAAGAAAATACGGTATCTGGACATATTTGACAAACATAATGGTTTTTCCGACAGGGAATAACGATTTCTTTTGTTACCCACCATGGTTGGTCTACGACCTCACGAAATATCAGGGAGATCGTTCGATTATTTTTTAATATATTGCTGATTTAAGGAGAATGTCAATCGTGGTCACTATTTAGCCCTCGCTTTGTGAGCAGAGGCTGACCGATAAATTATCCATAACGCCGATTAATTTACTCAGCACTATGCAAAAAATGAGCCGGATAACCCCGTAAATGCTGCAGAAGTTGTTGTATAGTAGTTGTGTACTTATTTTCATAATAGTAATCAAAACTTATAACGTTTATGTATGATAATTGATTTTGTTTTAGTGGTGACATTGGTATATTTATTTTTACAGGATCCTTTGTTTGTCTCTAGAATAAGCGATACATTTTGTCGCAGAACAGTTCTGACTGAAACAGATGGTAGACTTCAGGAACAATCTAAATGATAATGAAATTATAATTAGTATAATATTTGATTATTTTATTACTAATCTAATGAAGCTGCAGAAAATAGTGTAGTAGCATTTATTGTTAAAGAAAAACAATAGTTTAATAATACTTGACTGACATTCTTACATAAAGTATTTGTTATTGCACATAAATAAACCGGGAGTGATCTCCCCTAAACTTTCTCGAATACTTTTATATAAAATAACAGGGGATGGGAACTCGGGCTACAGACATGATTTTTAATCCATTTTAAATACTTAAAGTTTTAAAAATAGAATATAATGTCGTAGACAAAAGCATTGCACACCAAGTGAACGCTAAATAAAAAAGTGCATAATAGTGCGCAATATTATTAGTACTTTAAATATTTACATTAGTTTTTGAGAAATCGGGAGTAGCGTCAATTACTACTTCCGGTCAACGGAAATGACTCAAAATTTAACAGAAGGTGAAGAATTTGATATTTTACTTACATGTGAAATTTCGTTTATCTATCTGGAATAGTACTCAAGTTATAGGCTTTTGAAAATTTCAAAGTAGGAAAAGTACCACTTCCGGTTATCGGAAATCGCTCAAAAGTTTATACGTATCTACGATTTTGATACAATACTTTTTTATAAAATTTCATCAACCTAGTTTTAACGGTACTCAAGTTATTGTGTTTACACACACACACACAGACAGACAGACACACAGACAGACACACAGACATACGGACAAGATTGCAAAATTATGTTTTTCCGTATCAGTGAGATGTAAAACGTCGAGATTTGTAAAAATCTCGATTTTTTTTTTGCACGATTACAAGATTTTTCTCTATACTTCGTATATACGAGAAAGTAAAAATAATCCTCCAGTATAACTTATAAAAGTATCACTGATACATTACTTTTATTTCAATTTTAATTTAACTTTTGCGTATTTCAAAATATAGTAAATAGATCGTGATAATATTTATAGAAGAATTCTCTCTGAAATAAAGATTGGATATTTATTTGGTCACTAATGTCTAATCTATTGATTTACTTAATGTTGAAGGTGTAACTGAACATTTATAAGATGTAAGTTTACATTCATTAGATGTACATTTAAAAGCAGATGCTAGTCTAGCATGTGGTAAACTGATGAATAAGAATGGTCGAAAAGTATTTGTAAGGAATAGGAATTGACTTAGTTTTTAGCATAATGCCTTTTGGCTATTCAAGATTATTTTATTTCACACCATGGTAAAAGACTATGGGTGAACAGATGTACATTTTCTAGATCTACATTGCACAGACGAATCCCGATAATGCTTGATATCTTTGATAAAGCAGATATAAGCCATTATCTTCTAACAATCTTGTCTCTTGTGTCATCGACACATATATATTATATATATATATATATATATATATATATATATATATATATATATATATATATATATATATATATATATATATATATATATATATATATATATATACGAGCCGACCCGCGGCATAACAAACGCCGCTATTTAGTTGTTTTATTTTCTACTTTTCAGTAATTCATAATTTGTTAATTCCACAGTACCTATGCTGCCACTGAAAATATTTGTTTTAAAACACTATCAGCAGGTCGTTAAGGACGATACTACCCCAACCCACCTTTCCCACAACCCCTACCCTACACCCCCCCCCGTGAAAACTGCCTCCTCTTAGTTACCTCCCCTACGTTTAAAATAGTATCAAACTAAATTATCTGCCCATAGTAACCGTCATTAAACCCGGCTCTACGTTTGTAAACATTTAGCGTGAACCAAAGCTCACCAGACCATGCAGGGGTGGGGTGGTAGGGAGCGCACTTACAGCTTGTTTTCTAGCGTCTCCAAGAAGATATATATATATATATATATATATATATATATATATATATATATATATATATATATATATATATATACATATAGGTAGGGGCCAAACAAAATTTCTGCGGGGGTGAGGGGGGTGGCTTTGATTTCCAGGTTCGTCACTGGTTGATAGGAAACAAATTATAATATACAGCTACAATGTTAATATCCGGCCATAATTAGAACTTTGTCCTGTGCAATGAAACCAGAAACATGATTCTATGTATGAAAGAATGAAGGAATGAACGAACAAACGAGCGAACGAACGAACGAAAGAACGAACAAACGAATGAACGAATTAACGAACGAACGATTGATCGAACGAACGAATGAACAAACGAACGAACGAACGAACGAACGATCGAACGAACGAATCACGAATGAACGAATGGTAGAATGAATGAATGAACGAATAAGTAAGTGTATGTTAGCTTAATATAAATTAATTTTATAATTACTGGCTGTTTCTACTTAATTGCAAGTCTGATTCAAGAAATGTTGATGAGATAATCATTCCTGAACAATATAAAAAAATACAAGATGGACAACAATTTATTCTGTTCGATTCTGGTGCTAAATCAAAAGGTAGGATGTTTTTGTTTGGAACCAAGGACAACCTTAGGTTATCATAGGTTAATCAGCACTGGTTTATGGATGGTACATTCAAAACAGCTCCTGCATTGTTTTCACAACTCTACACAGTCCATGCATTGCTCAATGTGTTTATGCCTTACTTCAAAACAAAACACAGGAAACATACACAGCACTCTTACAGCAGCTAACGGTCTTAAACACAAACCTGCAACCAATTTCTATTATGAATTGACTTTGAAATGGCTGTGATAAGAAGTGTTGAAAGGGTATTTCCAGATTGTGAGGTCAAAGGGATTTTTCTTCCATCTTAGCCAAAATATATATAAAAAATACAGGACTCTGGCCTTCAACAACTCTACCAAAATGATAGTGAATTTACTCTCACGCTCAGAATGATACCTGCGTTGGCTTTTGTTCCTATTGAACACATGGGTAGTGCCTTTGAAAGATTATTGGAATTTTTCCCCCAAGAAGCAATGCCAATTGCAGACTATTTTGAGGACTATTATATTGGCAGACCACAACGTCGAGGTCGGAGACTACCTATGCTTTCACTTGATATGTGGAACATGCACATACGTCCTGAAGACCATATGCCAAAAAAAAAAACAACTCAGTTGAAGGCTGGCACATACGTTTCCAGTCGAATATGGAATGCTGCCACCCAAATATTTGGAAATTCATTGACTTTATTAAAAAGGAACAATCACTCCATAAGTTTTATTGTACACAGATTAATTCAGGTCACTGCTTACCAAGCAGAAAATAAATATATTGATAGCAGCTCTCGAATTGTAAATGTTGTTAAAAATTGTAATGTGTCCACCATTATTGAGTTTTTGCGAGGCATCGCTCACAATCTGTCTTTTTAAAGTTATAATAAAAATAAAACAGTTTTATATATTAATTTTGGTTCTCATCATCTTTGGTTTTTTCCTTATATAAACCTCAACTGGGGGGGGGGGGGATGGGGGTTTGTCCATGGGGTTTATATCGCGGGGGGGGGGGAGGTTGTCCAGGGGGTTTATGTCGGGGTTTTTTTTTTCCAGAGGGTTTTTGTCCAGAGGGTTTTTGTCCAGGGGTTTTTTTTGGCCGGACACCCTTTATTCGCCAGAATTATGAAATAAGAAATGTAAAAAAAGTATAGGACTATCCCAATCCACTTTAGCAGCTGTTAACTTTTTTTTCTTTCTTGACGAACATCACCGGCTAAGGAATATGTCCCCACCGTCGTACCCAACCGTCAAGTCCCCGGCTCAACAGTAGAAAGCTAATAACTAAAACTACGTCACTCATGTCAAATTAATGATTATTGACCAATAGAAAAATGCATTCTGAATAAAATAACCTTCTCCATTTGACGCTATTCGAAAAAGTTGGCACTTGAGCGGTGGCAAGCATTTAATTGTTGCCACGTGGCTAGCTACATAACGGCTGTGGGCTGGGTCTAGAGCTCTACGCATACTTTCTATTGCACCTATTCTCACTGCTCTCTTACAAGTTTTTTCTTCTGTTTAATCTTGTGTGTCTATACATTTTAATTTTTGTTATCAGTTTTGAGAATGATATAATACAACTATTAATATGTGTGTAAGGAGCTAGAAAGCCGCATCTTGACATCAAAAGAGCCACATGCGGGTCGCGAGCCGCAGGTTGTTGACCCCTGGTATAAGCTAAATTTTATTTAAAGAAGGAATATAAAGATTTAGACATATTCGAATGTAAAAAAAAAAGATCTTTAATTATGCAACCAGAGAAGTATTTATGGTAGTGACAAAAACGCTCTACGGAACGCATAGTTAGCATAAAACTATAATTGGCAAAAATAATGCTATCACATGTAACAAATAGAAAAACATCTTTATAAAACAATGTTTTATTAATAAAAAGTTTAATACTACGGAACGCAAACACCACTAAAGGCGTCACTGATTGTAGGATAAAAAAGATAATTAAAAATAGGAAGTCGAAAATGATACACAATACTAAAGACGTCATGTTGAATAAGATTCGCTTCCCACATCTTTTAGTTTACAGTATGAAGAAATGAACTACTTCATTTTAAGTCGATTTAGATGTATATATTTACTTATTAAGTCGTATGCTATGAAATTTGTACAATTTTCTCTGCCGAAATAATAAAAATAAATTATTTTTTATAAACAACAAAATACCGTTGAAAACGCCGATTTTTAACGGATACATTTCAGTCACTTAATAAGTTATTTTTTATGACCCTATTAATTAAAAAATAATCAATTTTTCCCAACTTTACAAGCTCTTCACGTAGTTGGGAAAAATTGATTAATTTTTAATTGACAATAGACGGAAGACGGGTAAAGGATGTGGAACAGTTTGTCTAACTTTGCAGCAAGATCAGCAAAACGGGAGGCATATAGAAGGACATACGTGCTAGAATTATTAGAGCCCGATGTGCTTTCACAGTTTTGCGACCCATATGGAAAATTTCTGCCATCTTCGTTACCACAAAAATTAGGATATTTAACTGAAATGTCAAGGCAGTTCTACTGAGCGGAACAGAGACACGGAGAGTCTCCAGAGCAAGCACAGCAAAGATACAGACCTTCATGAACAGATGCCTTAGGCAGATATTGAAATTAAGATGGCAGGACAAAGTACCCAACAAAGAATTATGGAGGAAAGCTAGGCAGGATCCTATGGGTGTACAAATAAGAAGGAGGAAGTGGCGATGGGTGGGTCACATACTGCAAAAGGCAAGCGCTTGAGTGGAACCGCCAGGGAAAGCGGAAGAGAGGGCGCCCAAGACAGACCAGGAGGCGGAGTCTTCTTGAAGAACTGAAGCCAACAGGGATGTCTTGGGAGATGGCAAAATTAATAGCCGGGGATCGGAAGAAGTGGAAGGAAATGGTGGAGGCCCTATGTTCCATAAGGAGCAAAGAGGATTAAGTCAAGTAAGTCAAATAATAAATTTGATTTCTATAAGTGCATACATAAAAAAGCCTTGGCATTTTAAAAAAGTACCAACAAATTCAAAATGGAGGAGGTTTTTTCGGGTTTCCTTGACAACCAAAATTGATTTCAACCCTTTATTGCTGTTTAAAACTTACTTTTATGTGCCAAACATGAAATTTTTTTTTAAAAATGCGTTATAGCTTAAATTGTTAAAAAAAGGAGTAGGCCTATATCCGATTATATATCTTAGTACATTTTATCATTACCATTGTTTCCTATTTGTTTTTTATTTGACGTCATTCTCTTTAACAGTGATGATTTTTATTTTCTTAAGAGATTTATTGTTACACAAACATAAACAAACAACTACAACACAGATGAAACAATAAACACCTCTCCAGTTGTATAATAAAAAGTTTTTTTCTACATTCAAATATGCCTTTATTATTTTTCTCGTCTTTAAAGAAAATTTAGTTTTTTTTTTTAATTTTGTGGCTCCAACATTTTATTTTTAACATATGCCCGTATCTTTAAGTTCTCCATATTGCTGAACAAACTAATCCCGTAGCCTCGGAAAAAATATGCGACGAACAAAAAGCGAGAGAGAGAGTGGGGGTGGTGGGCTGCGCATTTAGGCTGTTATACATTATATATAGAGGTCTATATATATATATATATATATATATATATATATATATATAATATTTATATATATATATATATATATAAATATTATATGTACAGTCAATCAATTAGCATGTAACTTAATGTTAATCTTTTTCATAATATTTTTTCGCTACATTCAAATGCCTAATTAATAAACTTATTACAGTGTGTATGTAATTAATAAAACATGTTTCTTACTGAATACAAAATCCAATCGATTTGAACATCCCCGCGAATCCGAATATACTTTATCTTTGACATCCTTGCTGGTACATTCAAAACTAAAGTTCTGGTGTTGACTAAAACCTAGTAAAATACACATGTCAAAAAAGTAACGACCTGGAGTAATTTTAATATTGTCGGAAAATTATTCGCATACTGCTAAACAGAAATATAAATTTTAACTAAATCCAAAATGTACCTTGAATTGATGGTTGTTTATCACAACTGATAATTGTACTGCTTTTCTTCCTTCTAAATGTTTCCCGTCGTAAAATGATGGCGTTCCCCATCTCAGATTTCTTTTGTAATTCATGGAGAATCTCTCTGTGTTGAAACGATATTCGGCCTGCATTTCGATGTCTTGGATGCATGTATTAGTCTCACACAGGTCCAGAGTAAATCTACATCATTGTAATTAATCATTTTAGACTTTTCACAATTAAGATTGGAAGTAATGAAACGTCAAAAACATAAAGTATTTTGAAAATACCTGTTAGTTTTTTTATAGGTTCTTTAAAAAAATTGAAATTTTACAACCTGTTGGGATTTTGAAGCATGGCTCCTTCAATGTATATTTCTTTACCATCAAACATTGGGTGTCTAATTTCTGCAGTATAAGGCACAGGGTACTGGGGAAATTTTATTTGGGTAATAAAACTCTAAGAAATTGGAAATCTTCAAAGATAAAAGACGTTAAAGATTTGTTTATAATCAGTTTGCACTTATATATGAAATTTTATCAACCTAGCTGTAACGGTACTCAAGTTATCGTGTTGACAGACACACATACACATACACACACATACG